AATTAATTTTGGGCAAATTAAAAATAGGTGTCAACACAGTGAAAACTATTTGATTTGCACATAGTTCATGGCTAATCTATTACCACCAGCAAAGATGTTGAGGATATTGGTCAAATTAATTCCACAAAGCAAACTCCCTATTCTGCACTTTTTGTAAAAGATACCACCAGCTAAGCAAAATATCACATTCACAATATAACAACCTAAAGAAAGATCACGGGAATCATAAAAGTAGCTGCCTCAGCCTTACCCAAAAAAAAAAAAGAGTAGCTGCCTCATGTGTTGTAGCGACAAAATCAACTATGATCATCCTAATGGATAATGAAGGATTTCTTACCGACAAAAGAGTTAGTTCACATGATATGGATCCCACACGTAACAAGATAGGAAACGGAGAGGGCAGTTAAAAGAATCGGAGTGGCGACGGCGGAGGCGGAGGCATAGTTAGAACTATCGTGGAAGCAAGCTATCGAACAATTAAATTAACATAATAAGGAAATAAATCAAACACCAGATTTACGTGGTTCGATCGTAGTGACTTACGTCCACGAGGAGAGCAGCACGAATTCCACTATAGATCAAGCGATATAACGGAGATTACAATCATGCTCGAGTAACTTAAACACTCCAAGTGTTTTCCAAGCCCCAATTGTATCAAATAACTCACGCAGTGTTGAGCCTACAATTCCTCACGAAATAATTTCTCAATCTCACGAAAGAATTATATACAAAATCTTACCGTAAGATTTAATTGGCTTTAAATACTCGGATATCTTAATAATATAATTCACTAGCAGAAGCTCCTCTTTGATGCTTTTTACAAATAACATCCATTTCTTATATATGGCGAAGAATTAGATCAAAAATAGGAAATTTCATTTTAGAAAATCTTTTTCAACTATAAAACTTACTTGAATTAGGAAACTTTCGTTTTTTGGCCCAAAATCGAGGCATCATTTTAACCGGAACGAACAGAGACACCTTCGGATGGAGAAGAACTTTCGCTCTTTGAATGATGAAGAAGAGCAGAGAAAGTGAAGAGAGGAAGGGAGAGAGTGTGTGTCGTTTACGGAGACGACAGCGAGGGGAGAGAGAGAGTAACAGAGGCATAACAGAGGGAATTTTGTAAGATTTGACAAGTGGAGCCCATCTACATAGGCCATTGGCTCTCAGGGATCACACATTTCACAAACTTTTTTATCCATGCACAGAAGAAACGTTCTGAGCCACGAGTTCGCTCCAAATTGATGCTAAGGGCCAAGTGATACCCATTACTTAGCCAAACTCCAAAAGAACCAAAGAAACAAAAACAAAAAGACCAAAAAAACAAGAAAACGAGGTCATTCCAGGTCTAGCCGAAACGATACAGAGTAAACATGGCCCATATTACTGTTGCTGACACTCAAATCAGTACCGACGGCAAAGCGATCCCGCTTCTTGGGTTCGGAACAGCCGAGTACCCATTTGGGTCCTCTGCCAACGTGAAGGAACACCTCCTCGATGCCATCCGATTGGGTTACCGACACTTCGACTCGGCCGCACTCTACCTGTCCGAACAGCCCCTCGGAGAAGCTGTGGCTGAAGCTCTCGCGCTCGGCCTTGTAAACTCGCGTGAGGAGCTGTTCATCACTACAAAGCTCTGGTGCAGCGACGCGCATGGCGACCGCGTCGTCCCCGCGCTCCAGACATCCCTCAAGTACAATTTCAGTCAACCTATGAATCATATAGCACCGTGTCTGTACGTTTCATCATCCTCGTTTTCACTGCATCGGTCGGTTCTTGTGTGTAGGAATCTCGGGCTCGAGTACGTGGACTTGTATCTGGTGCATTGGCCGGCGTGCGTGAAGGCAGGTGAGTATGAGCTTCCGGTGAAGAAGGAGGATCTGCTTCCGTTTGATTATGAGAGTGTGTGGAAGGCCATGGAAGAGTGTCAGAAGCTGGGCTTGGCCAAAAGCATTGGAGTGAGCAATTTCTCATGCAAAAAGCTTGAGAAGTTGCTCAGCATCTCCGAGATTCCTCCTGCTGTCAACCAAGTGAGTTTATTGTTGGTCCCTAGGGAATTCTTGTTTTCTTAAAATTGCTCTGGAAAAAAAAACAAAACATGTTTGTCATAACAAAGAAAAGCTACCCTAAACATGAAAAACATGTTTATTGCAAGTTTAGGGTTGCTCTTTTTATTTATGTCAATTTAGTCTTCGTGTAGTTCCGAAAATCTTCATCTAGGTGATTCACTTTTGACAAAACAAGAACCTCTCCTCCCTCTCTCTCTCTCTATTCTCACGAGCTACAGTGCCCATGAATGCCGCCGCTGCACTGTCCACCCCGCCATGCTCAAGCCGCCACCCTCACTGAGCCTGCAGCCGCTGTGGTCGAGCCAGCGAGCCCCCATGTCGTCCCTCCCCCTGTAAAACTCACGGGGAGGTCGCGACCTCTTCTTTGGAGACTGCTCGAGGTCGAGGACCGCCAGAACGAGGTCATTGTGGTGGCTTTTTAAGCCTTCCGCAACCTGACCCGACTTGAGTGATAGAGCCAGAGAGAGGGTTAGGCTTTGAGAATTTTCTTTTTCTTTCTCCTTTTCGTGTTTTGTTCATGTTAGATTTGCATGTGTGTTACGTAACTCGTATAACCCATCAATCTAAAAGATCTGAGGAAATTTACTCCCACCAAAATACAACCCTCTGAAATTTTGATACTTAAGTATTAGGCACATTTAAACCAATGTGGATGGCATAGACAACGAAATCTAATCTCCTAGCACCCCTCAAAAGAATCCAACTCTTGATGGATAAAAGCATCATTGTATTATCGTTGAAGTCAAAAATGGCAACATGAGTTCTGCTCAAACGCATCATTAGACGACTGTGGATTCCTCAGACTTTACAAGAGGGGTGTGATTTTTTATTTATGATTTAAATGGGTTCGATTTGATTGTGAAGGTGGAGATGAACCCTCTGTGGCAGCAACAGAAGCTAAGGGAATTCTGCAAGGAAAAGGGAATACACATCACCGCCTACTCTCCGTTAGGCGCCAAAGGAACCTTTTGGGGGACCAATAGAGTGATGGAATGCGAGGTGCTGCAAGAGATTGCCGAAGCCAAAGGGAAGACACTTGCCCAGGTTGTCATCAATCTCTATCCACCTTATCCTTCTCGAATTCGATGATGCTATGCATACAAACATTGATTCAGATGATTAATTAGACACTTGGTCCTCTTAAGCCAATATTCTATGCAGCTAGGCTACGGTCAGTGATCGTTACGTAAGATGTGAATCCTAAAGAGTTAATCAATTTGGTTAGGATAAAGAAACTAAATGCTACCCTTGTATGCCTCGTACAATTTTCCTATACAACATGTTAGATTTGGTAGAACCATTGTCAACTGTTCTAAAAGCTTAAGCTATTCGATAAAGATATGGTTTAATATTTAATTACTCTAACACTCCCCCTCACGCTTAGTCTAGTCTTTTTGCTTAGCACTAAGCGTGGGCATTTTTCATTGGGGAGGCAATTGGGACCTGAAAAGATTTGAACCCAGGATTTTCAGCTTTTATACCATGTTAGATTTGATGAAACCACTGCCAACTGTTCTAAAAGCTTAAGCTATTAGATGAATGTGTGGTTTAATATTTAATTACTTTAACACAACATATAACAATTCATTAATATTAGATCATCCTATCGCGCAGTAAGAGATTCGGATGAGTTGACCAAGGTCCAACACTCAAGCTAGAACTAAGTGAAATGCTAGAACATTACTCATCTCTGTCAACATCTCTCTGGTTATTATCTGTGTACATATGTGAGGAAGTTTACTTTTTACTGTTAGCATATGTTTCAGACACGGTTAAGCTCATATTTTGGCTATATTATTGGTCTGCATGAAGGTTTGTCTAAGGTGGGCGTATGAACAAGGAGTCAGTGTGGTAGTGAAAAGCTTCAACATAGAGAGGATGAAAGAGAACCTTGGCATATTCGACTGGAGCTTGAACCCTGACGAATTGAACAAAATCAGTCAAATTCCACAAAAGAAAGGATTCCCGGGAGTCGAATTCATATCCCCAAATGGTCCTTACAAGTCTGCCGAAGAGCTCTGGGACGAGGGGATTTGAGCAGGAATCGTTAATCGCTTCAACTAGTAAAGCTTATTCAATGAAATTTTCTAAGATTGTTGAACCTTAACCCCAAATGAATGGTAGTCCCTTCTGTTTTAGAACAATATACAGTGGACGTCATCTTTGGCCTTTCAAAAGTGCCGTGGGTTTCTTCCTTTTCTGGTACAAACACAGGCATGTCCTTCAGTTGTAGCCGCACAGAAGCCAAAAAGAAAAGGGACGCACAGAGGAGGAGCGCTTCCTTTCATGGCACGAAGGAGTCATGAACACGATGGATTTTATGATACGAGTTCTTCTGCATCGAATTGAGTTGTTTCATCAATAAACATATGGGTTTGGGTGTGATTCGGGTTTATTAAATACTCGAATGTGTGGGTGAGTATTACTATATAATTCTTGGATTATTTCGTGGATTACTCGTTGTTGACTCCCTCGGTGAAGTAGGTGTTGAAATCAGCACCGAACCACACAAATCTCTGATTTTATTTTTTTTATTGTCTCTCATTTATTTCTCTGATAATTTCACAATGATTGAACTGCAATATCAGATATCTTCCGCATTGTATTGCAACAAACCAATAATTGACTAGCCATCATGCACGCGGCTTATACGTTGCTCAGACTTGATTTTTCCCAATGCTTTGGATTCTCGCATGCCTTGCATATTGTAATGCAGACAATGCAAGGCTTCTTCACATGTACAGTATCTTGTATTTTACACAATATATAGGATTCGGCACATGCATTGTGTATCATATGGTACGCAATGTCAGAATTTTTCACGTGCATTGAATATTTTATTTCACACGATGCAAATCTTCCGTGCCGATTGGAATATGGTTGCAACAGAGATCTAGTTACGGGATGAAAAAAGATTGATTCCTTTCGTTTAGGTCTCGTCTGTATCAGGAAAAAATACAGAGAAACTTGGCCAATATCACTGTTCCTGAGACTCAACTCAACAAAAACGGCAAAGCGATCCCGCTTCTTGGCTTCGGAACGGCCGAGTACCCATTTGGCTCCTCTGACAACGTGAAGGAACACCTCCTTGATGCGATCCGATTGGGTTACCGACACTTCGACTCAGCCGCACTTTACCTGTCCGAGCAGCCCCTCGGAGAAGCTGTGGCCAAAGCCCTCGAGCTCCGCTTCATAAACTCGCGTGAGGAGCTGTTCATCACGACGAAGCTTTGGTGTAGCGATGCCCATGGCAACCGTGTCATCCCCGCGCTCCAGGCATCCCTCAAGTACAATTTCAGTCAACCTATGAATCATATAGCACCGTGTCTGTACGTTTCATCATCCTCGTTTTCACTGCATCGGTCGGTTCTTGTGTGTAGGAATCTCGGGCTCGAGTACGTGGACTTGTATCTGGTGCATTGGCCGGCGTGCGTGAAGGCGGGTGAGTATGAGCTTCCGGTGAAGAAGGAGGATCTGCTTCCGTTTGATTATGAGAGTGTGTGGAAGGCCATGGAAGAGTGTCAGAAGCTGGGCTTGGCCAAAAGCATAGGTGTGAGCAATTTCTCATGCAAAAAGCTTGAGAAGCTGCTCAGCATCGTCGAGATTCCTCCTGTTGTCAACCAAGTGAGTTTATTGTTGGTCCCTTGGAATTGATGTTTTCTTAAAATTGCTCTAGGAAAAAAACATGTTTGTCATAACAAATAAAAGCTACCAATAACATGTTTTCCAAAAATCAAGTTTATTGTTGGTCCCTTGGAATTGATGTTCAAGGACGGATGTGCGATTTTGAGTTCAAGTTCGCTATGTGTTGAGTAGGAGCTGCAGAGTTTAGAGCTGAACATTTTCATTTTCTAGTTTCTTTGGAAGAGATCGGTAAAACTATAGCTCCAAGTCATTTGGATGCCTCGGCCAAAGTGGGAAAAAGATGACTCTGAATCCTGATGCGTTAACAGGTTCACAGGAAAAGAAAAACTGTTAGTAAAATTTGGTCATGTTGTCTTTCGGCCTGAAGAGGAAATTTCGTCCGACCCAAGTCCTCCCTTCCCCTTCCTCTTCCCCTCTATTACTACGAGCTACAGTGCTCGTGAATGCTGCCACCGCACTGTCCACCCCACCATGCCCGAGCCGCCACCCTCACTTAGCCTGTAGCTGCCGCCGTCGAGCCGGCGGGCCCCCATGTCATCCCTCCCCCTCGACGACTCACAGGGAGTTGGCGGCCTCTGCTGCGGTGCCTGCCCGAGGTTGAGGATCGCCGATCGGCAGCTTTTAAAGGTTTCCACAACCTGACCCGACCCGACCCGACCCGACCCGACCCGACCCGAGAGAGAGAGAGAGAGAGAGAGAGAGAGAGAGAGAGAGAGTTGCCGCACCGGGGGGCCGAGGGACTGGCTTGTTGGCTAGGGCCGTTGTCGATGGCCAGGGGCTGTCAATGGAGGCCCATCAGCGCAGGGATGCTGTAGGTGATGGCAATGAGGCGGCGGGCAACATATCAGATGTGAGGAAGATGGAAGAGAGAGGGTTAGGTCTTGGGATTTTTTTTTCTTTTTCTGTTTTGTGTTTTGTTCATGTTAGCCCATCATAAAAAAAACAAGAAAATGATACGAATAGTACATGAACTTTAGTTTAATATGTAATGTGGTCCCTGAACTGTAGCTTAATGTATAATGTGGTCTATGAACTTTTAATTTGTTTAATGTGGTCTGTGGATTTTTGGTGTGCGTTCAACTTAGTCCATGAATTATATGAAAATGTTCATTGTTATTTTTAAACTTGAATTAATGAAAGGATGACATTGAACATATTTCATATAGTTCAGGGACTAAGTTGAATAAGTACCAAAATTCCAGGGATTACGCTGAACAAATTAAAAGTTCAGGAACCACATCATACATTGGGCAAAAGTTCAGAGGCTACAATGAATAAATTAAAATTTTATGGGCCATATTACATATTGGATCAAAGTTCAATTATCATTTGTGTCATTATCCTAAGAAAAATTAGTAGGAGGCAAAACACAGCCCTTTGAAATTTTCATGCATAAGTAGAAAGGCACATTTAAAACCAACGTGAATGGTAAAGGCAACGAAATCTAATCTCCTAGGCTCCTAGCGCCCCCCCGAAAGAATCCAACTCTAGAAAGATAAATTGTAAGAATTTTCTAATATGAGCTTCATTAATTGAAATTAACTGAATTAGTTTGGTCTAATAAATATAAGATATATGGGTTCTTAATAAGTCTAATATGGGGCTGGCTGGTGTGGGCCGAATATAGCCCGGTCCGTAATGAGAGGGCCCGTGGTCGAAAACTCTATAAATAGCGTTCAAGTCCCTCCCCTAGCCCGATGGTGCACAATCTGACTCACATACGAATCTAGAGAGAACTTTCTTCTTGTAAGTGGCAATCTCATTAGGCCAGTGTTCTAACGAAGGGTATAGGGGAGAAGCACTTGAGTTCGTGTTCGGAAACCGTCGCAAATTCCGCGTCAAGTTCAATGGATTCCAAACCAGGTACGCAAATCGATAATTTCTCCATGAACGTGTTTTGGTTTCTAATTATGGTGATCCTGGGCGTGCCATTTTCGTGGCTAACATGTGGTATCAGAGCCTACCATAGATTAGAACTGAAACATACATATTAGGACCGTTTTCGTTATGTCCAAGAGGTTTTTACCCATTTTCGAAATTTTTTGTCGGTTGAATGTAAAATTTTATTACAAACCAGAATCTACTCGTCGAGACGAGAAGATTGACGGGCGGCACGTCATCGGACGAGGCCGCACGAGCCCTCACATGCTGACACGCGCAGTGGGCGCGGCGGCGCGTGACGACCACGAGCGGCCGTGCCGAACCGGCGCGTTTTTCCCCGGTAACCGTCGGATGACGTTAGCATGACGTCAGTGGCAGCGCGAATCCGAGTTGACCCGGATCCTGACCCGACCCGACTGTTGACCCGACCGGTCAATCGGTCGGACCGTTGACCGGCTGAACACGCGCGCACGCGCCGCGCTTTCCGGCGGCGCGTGAGGGCGCGTCTAACTTCCGTTTGGGACGTTCTTGGTACCGACGTGCTCGTATTGAGATTCTCTACATTGTGGTATATTTATTTTACATGTTTGAAGCTTTTACAGATGTGAAAATACGTATAGAACCCTATATACGCGTATTTTTAGGGTATTTTTGCGTATTTTCTTGTATTTCTCTATGATTTTGGAAATGCATATAGTAGCTCACATGTATATCACCACATAAGGACTGTGTAGAGTGTAATTCATTGTCTATCAATGAATGGAACAATATAATTAGCATGACATGTAATTTCAGAGATACACGCCCCTGTCTTTACGTCTGGCATTACATGTGTATAGTGAATGTGATACATAAAGCTCATATCCTTGGCATGAGAGATTTTCAAAGATTTAGTTGGGTAGTAACCGCCAAAGCGGCACACTTGACTGAGTTTGAGAAATATCGGTCTCATATTGTGGTGGGATGTCTCCTGTTCTATTGCGTGATCATACTCCCAAAGGAGGTGATCTTGTATTGGTTCATGGAGGGGTACATGTATAGCATGTGCTTGAGAAATGACTGATCGATCTTAGTGATTCATACACCCAAAGGTGGTGATTTCACGAAAGATTAGAATATGTTCTCATGGCCGCTGTCATGTGGAGAGTGTACAATTGCATGTCATATTTTCTGCCCGAAGGTGATTATGTGATGATGTATGTAACTCTTTGGATAAGTACTCACATGATGCTGATTGTATTGTTTGTTTATTTTCCAGTCACCTTTTCTGTAAACGGCAATTCCATTTCCATTGAGGTCCTTACTGGGTTAAACTTTAACAAATGAAAAGAGGATTTTCTATTTAGAATGGAGCTAGCGGTTGTTCACATTGCTCTTACAAAGGATAAGCCGGCAGATATCACGGCCACCAGTACTGAAGCTGAGAAAATCGACTATGCTGCCTGGGAAAAGAGCAATCGAATTTGCTTATTGACAATGAAGAAATCCATTCAAGAACATTTGAAAAGTGGTTTGCCAGCTGACTGTACTACTAAGGAAATGATGGCAGCCTTAGAGGCTAGAAACCGCATTTCATCTAATGCTGAGGTTGGTACACTTCTTCAAAAGCTCTTCATTATGAAGTATGATGGTACTGCTGAAGTTAGAGATTATGTCCTTAGGATGGTAAACCTAAAGACGAAGTTTCAAGCTTTTAATGTTTCCATTCCTGATGGTTGTATTGTGCATCAAGCCCTGAACACCCTTCCACCTGATTTTGGGATTATAAAGACAAATTACAATTCCCAAGATGATACTTGGTTAGTTAATGACTTGATAGCAAGGGTGGTGGCAAAGGAAGAGAAACTTAAGAAAGAAAAAGGGCATCTAGCCTTAAATGTTTCTGGTTCCCACAAAAGGAACGATAAAAAGTTCAGAAATCGTACTCATAAAGGTACTCATGACACTACCGGTCAATCTGACAATATGGGTCCAAAGAAAACATCCTTTAAAAGGGATGGTGACCGCTGCTTCTTTTGTAAGAAGAAATGTCACGTAAAGAAGGACTGTGGAAAGTTCAAAGCTTGGTTGTCCAAACGTGAGCCTACAGGTAATGATTCTTTGGCACTTGTTTATGAATCCAACTTATCAGAAGCACCATCCAGTTCTTGGTGGCTTGATAGCGGTGCAACTAATCATGTTGCGTTTACCATACAGGGATTCATAAACCGGAGGAAGTCAAATCAGGATGAGTTAAGACTCACTGTGGGAAACAACGAGAAAGCCGATGTTGTGTTTGTGGGAGATGTAATCTTGATTCTAGACTCTGGTTTTAGATTAATGTTGAAAGACACTTTTTATGTACCTTCTTTTAGATGGAACTTAGTTTCTGTATCGTGTTTAAACATGTATGACTACTCTTTTGAAATCAAGAACAATGTTATTTCTTTATTTCTTAATTCAAATAAGGTTGGGTGCTGTAATATGTCCAACGGATTGTACAGATTGTGTTTGTCTCCCAATGACATATACGTCGCTTATACGGCTGAAAATGTTGTTTCCAAGAGACCACTCCCTAGGAAACAGTCTTATGCATTGTGGCATAAACGGCTTGGTCATATCTCTAAGGATAGAGTAGAAAGGCTGATAAAGACTAACATCCTGCCTACTCTTAAAGATGACCTAGAGACATGCGTAGACTGTTGTAAAGGTAAAATGACCAAGATAAGAAAGAAAACTGCAGTCCAAAGTTCTTACCTATCGGAGGTCATTCACACTGACATAAGTAGACCCTATACGTCAACTTTGTGTAGAAATTTTTATTTCATCACATTTATTAATGACTATTCTTGATCTGGCTATTTGTACTTGATTAAAGAAAAGTCCGAGTCTCTTAACAAGTGCAAGATTTTTCGGACTAAAATCGAGAAATAGTTGGGAAAGGTCATAAAGGTTGTTAGATCTGACCGAGGTGGAGAGTATTATGGCAAGCAGGGCGATGCCGAACATCTTAAGGGGCCATTTGCCAAATACTTAGAGGATTCTAGGATAGTGGCTCACTTTACTATGCCTAGGAGTCCTGAGCAAAATGGTGTAGCCGAAAGGCACAATCGCACCCTTATGGAAATGGTAAGGAGTATGATTAGTAGGACAAATTTACCTGATTTTCTATGGGGTGAAGCTTTGAAAACAGCTTTGTACATTTTGAATCGTGTACCTATTAAAGCTGTTCCATTGACTCCTTTTGAGTTATAGACTGGACGTAAGTCTAGCTTAAACCATCTTAAGGTTTGGGGATGTCCTGCAGAAGTGAAGTTATATAATCCGACATTAAGTAAGTTGGACTCCAGAACCACTCGGTGTTACTTTGTATCTTACCCGGATCATTCGAAGGGATATCGGTTCTATAATCTTAATGGAGGCACAAGAATTGTGGAATCACAGATAGCGAAGTTTCTGGAGTTTGATGCAGCTGAAGAAAGTAGCTGCTCACAGACTATTGAGGATAATGTAACGTTGTATCTTTATCTCCTCCCATACAGATAATTGTGGAGACTTTCACACCACATATTGAACCCGTTGAGGCTCATGATCCTTTTATCGAGATAGCTCCTAATGAAGTTCCTCAAGGCTCTCAGGTGCAGGATGAGGCTGTTGCTGCTCCAGTAAGGAGATCCATTAGGGGGAGAGATCAGCTATACCACCGGACTATTTAGTCTATATAGGAGAGCAAGACTACGATATCGGTTCTGTGGATGATCCAGTGACTTATGCGGAAGTTGTTTCTTGTCCTCAGTCGGAACTGTAGTTGGATGCAATGAGAGATGAAATGCAGTCTATGAAGCATAATGGAGTTTGGGAACTTGTTGAATTACCTGAAGGTCATAGACCCATTGGCTACAAATGGGTGTATAAGACTAAAAGAGACTCTAAAGGAAAGATTGAGAAGTTTAAAGCCAGACTGGTAGCCAAGGGTTTCACTCAGAGAGAAGGAGTAGACTATGAAGCAACTTTTTCTCCAATCTCTTCTAAAGATTCTTTTAGAGTGATGATGACATTGGTAGCTCATTTCGATATTGAGTTACACCAGATGGATGTTAAAACTGTCTTTCTCAATGGAGACCTTAATGAAGAAGTTTATATGATGCAACCCGACGGCTTTGCGGCAGATGATTCAGGTACGCTTGTATGTAGACTGAAAAAGTCTATTTATGGTCTCAAGTAAGCTTCTAGACAATGGTACTTGAAGTTTCATAGTGTTGTCGCTTAATTTGATTTTGTTGAGAACAAAGTAGATCGGTGTATATACTGCAAGGTCAGTGGGAGGAAATTCATTTTCCTTATACTCTATGTGGATGATATCCTGCTTGCGAGCAGTGACCTTGGTTAAATGCATGAGACAAAGCGGATGTTGTCAAAGAACTTTGATATGAAGGACCTTGGTGAGGCGTCTTTTGTCCTTAGCATTGAGATTCATAGGAATTGTTCTTGTCGACTATTGAGTTTATCTCAGAGGGCATATGTTGATCGTATCTTAGAAAGATTCAACATGCAGCAATGTAAGCCAGGAATTGCTCCTGTCAGTAAGGGTGATAAGTTGAGTCTGTCACAATGTCCTCATTCAGATTTTGAGAAAGCCCAAATGAAGAATGTACCTTATGCTAGTGCACTTGGGAGTATTATGTATGCTCAAGTATGTACTAGACCAGATATTGCTTTTGTAACAGGACTTCTAGACAGATATTAGTCAAATCCATGACATGATCATTGGGTTGCTGCCGAGAAGGTTTTAAGGTACTTAAAGAGGACAAAAGACTATATGCTGATTTACAAACATGTTCAGGACTTACAGCTAGTCGGGTATTCGGATTCAGACTTTGCTAGCTGTCAGGATGAAAAGAAGTCGACGACGGATTAGATCTTTAAGTTAGCACGAGGTGCAGTATTATGGAAAAGTGAGAAACAGAAATCAATGACATCCTCTACCATGCAAGCGGATTTTGTAGCATGCTTTTCGGCCGCTACTCAGGCAATTTGGCTTCGAAACCTCATTAAGGAGTTGACCGTATTTGATTTTGTGGATAGACCCATATAGTTATATTGTGACAATAACTCTGCAGTGTTGTTATTTAACAACGATAGAGGTCTCAAGGGATCTAAGCATATGGAGGTTAAGTACCTGACTATAAAGAAAAAACTTCAGACTGGTGACATTGCAGTAGAGCACATTTCGACAGATAATATGATTGTAGATCCACTGACTAAAGGCCTTCGCTCTTGAGTATTTGATCGACATGTCATTAACATGGGCTTAGGAGTATCATGGGATACTGTTAATTAGTAGGAGATGTTTAGTTTTATGTTGCTCTTATGAAGTTTGTATCTGATTTTGTTATATTTTGTAATATTTGAATATTTTTTGACTCTTTTGCATTCAATGAGGTATTTGTGAATGTAGATTTATCAAGTTGAGTACACATATTTGATGAAAATCTCGAGGCATTGTGTAAACCTTGAGTATAGGCTATGGGGTATTCTTAATATTAGCCTTAACGATATGTCTTGTTACACATAAAGTACAGTTCACTATCAAGGTAAGACATATGCAGGTTCGTTGGAACCATGAAGGATATTTTTTGGTGACACACTAGATTTTGTGACACTTAAGGAGAGAAAATTTGGACTAACAAAATGGACAACACATGAAGTATCACTCGTTATGAGGTATTGTCCATTTGACACACTACCATATTGAATCCATATCAGTAAAGTTAAAAGCACTCGTGACCATGGAAGGCTCTGCGTGAGTACATGCAGTTACCGCCATGATTCGGTGTTCGAGACTTTATGGGATCGGATTGACTATTAAGAATAATCTCTAGACCAATATAAGAGTATGCACACAGTTCTGTTTCAATTAATATTGCCCAAGTGGGAGAATGTAAGAATTTCCTAATATGGGCTTCATTAATTGAAATTAACTGAATTAGTTTGGTCTAATAAATGTAAGATATATGGGTTCTTAATAAGTTTAATATAGGGCTGGCTGGTGTGGGCCGTGTACGGCCCGGCCCGTAATGAGAGAGCCCATGGTCGAAAACTCTATAAATAGCGCTCAAGTCCCTCCCCTTACCCGATGATACACAATCTGACTCACATACGGATCTAGAGAGAACTTTCTTCTCGTGAGTGGCAATCTCATTAGGCCAGTGTTCTAACGAAGGGTATAGGGGAGAAGCACTTGAGTTCGTGTTCGGAAACCGTCGCAAATTCCGCGTCAAGTTCGATGGATTCCAAACCAGATACGCGAATCGATAATTTCTCCATTAACGTGTTTCGATTTTTGATTATGGTGATCCTGGGCGTGCCATTTTCGTGACCAACATAAACGCGTCACTTAAATATCGATAAAGTCAAATTGGTTACATGAATTCTGCTCAAGAACGTCATACCCAAAAATCTTATATCATACCCTGAAAAAGAAAACTATTGGAGGCTTTCAAATTATATGCTAAATTTGGTGGACAAAATTTATTGTAGTAAAGAAAACATGTTCAGTATCATCATGAGATTTTTGCAGGAACAAGCGTGAAATATACTATAATAATATAAAACATCTTTTTTCTGAAGAAACTAGTTTTAATCCTAAGATTAGTCTTGATATATCAGACTTTAAACAAGAGGGTGCGGGATTCTATTTTATGATTTAAATGGGTGTGATTTGATCGCGTAGGTGGAGATGAACCCTATGTGGCAGCAACAGAAGCTAAGGGAATTCTGCAAGGAGAAGGGAATACACATCACGGCCTACTCTCCGTTGGGCGCCAAAGGAACACTTTGGGGGAACAATAGAGTGATGGAATGCGAGGTGCTACAAGAGATTGCCAAAGCCAAAGGGAAGACACTTGCCCAGGTTGTCATCCATATGCACCTTATATTTTCTTTTCGAATTTGATGATGCTATGCGTACGAATGAATGATTCAGATGACTAATGTAGACACTTGGTCCTTTTAAATAAGTATCCTATGCAGCTAGGCTAAGGTCCGTCATAGATACGTAACATAATGCCTCGTACCCACTTCCTATATCATACATAACTATTCCGTAATATAGGATCACCCCAATTGCATTGTAAGAGATTTAACGGATCACTTGACCATTGTCCAACAACTAAGCTAGAATTAAGTAAAATGCTAGAACAATACTCATCTCTATTAATATCTCTCTTATTATTATCCTTGTACATATGTAACCGGGCATACTCGTTTCTTATTACATATATGAATGTGTCTCGTACATGGTCAAGCTCATATTTTGGCTATATTATTGGTTTGCATAAAGGTTTGTCTAAGGTGGACACATGAACAAGGAGTCAGCGTGCTAGTGAAAAGCTTCAACGTGGAGAGGATGAAAGAGAACCTCGACATATTTGACTGGAGCTTGAGCCTTAAAGAGTTGAACAGAATTCGTCAAATTCCGCAGAAGAAAGGATACCCCGCACTTGAATTTGTATCCCCAGATGGTCCTTACAAGGCTGTCGAAGAGCTCTGGGATGGGGAGATTTAATTAAGAATCGTCAATTGCTTCAATAAGTTCATTCAACTTGAGACTTTTTCAATGAACTATTCTAAGATTGTTGAACCTTAATGCCAAATAAATGCTAGTCCCTTCTGTTTTAGAGAAGTACAATTCTGTTCAAACGTTATTCAGCATCGAATAGAGAGGTGTTTCAAAGTGTATTTATTGACTAACTATTAACTAGTCATCATACACGCTTGTGCACGGCGAAAATATTAGGTAGTCCCGGCCCCCGGGTGACCACATACCCACAAGCCACTTGGTGATAGACATGTGGATCTCAGTGGATAGATGCGAAAATTCACTCTCTTCGTATTTTTTAGTTCGTTTCCAATGCCGAATCGAGATTTGTACAAACTCAAGAGCTCTTGACCTGGACGCTTCGCATCATGTCCTTGAACTTGAAGAAGTCGACACGGCCGTCGTGGATTTGATCAACATAGGTGATCAAGAGGTGGCATGTTGCGAGAAAATGGAGGGAGGCTCGCTCATCGGTTCGATCGCTCCTGGAGAGGGAACTGAATTCAGCTCCGATCCCATGCAACTCCACTCACTCACTAAAGCTCACTAAAGCTCAGTAAACTCACTGGGTACGAGCAAAATATCCTTTTCTCGAAAAACATGATGGCGCGATTTGGGAGTTTCTTTTGGTCATAGCATCTTTTTCAACGTGAGAGCCAAGAGAAAATATTGGGTACCCCAGGTGAAGAGGGAGTCCCGTGAGGGTCAAGAAGGGAGAGAGAAAGTGGGCCCCACACAGGAGAAAATATCCCTGATAGTAAGCCCGGGCGACACGTGTTCATTATTGAATGGACTATTATTTTGCTGACGTGGTATCACTTGGGGCACCCAATCTTACGTACAGATTCTGCCTGCAAGGGATATTTGATCGAAGAAGAAGCCGATACACTAAAGGTTTTGTGTGAGACGAAAGCGAGAAAATGATTAAAGTGACTAGTGAGTGTAACTTGGCGACAAGAAACATATGGAGAGAGAGAAATGCTTGTCCTATGCTTCTTTTTTTCTTTAATTTTTTTATTATTTTATTTTTGTCTTTTGCCTTTTACTTTTTGGTGAATTTATGGAAATTAAGAAAAGTGGTGTGTACGTTGAAATTTTTTTTTATATAATAATTCGATTCAGTCTGGGTGATCCGAATGGGCAATTTCACACATGAAACCAGGAGCCAGACATAAAATTACCGATACCAAAAAATTAAAACTGGGAACCAAATCGATGCCCCTGAAAACCGTCCAAAAGCGATCGATTTAATCTGGTCGAGATGGTTTCTTTCGCTCACTCCTATTTTGAATGGCTATCTTATCCTTTTTTCACTTAAAATAGTAGATAAACTTAACTAGGATCTTTTACTAAAACATTCCTCTTCATTTTCATGGTATTATTTGAACATTTTATTATTTGAAATATTCCTACATAAACGAGTGACTCATTGAACATTTTGGTGAGACTGTATTTTTTTTTTGTTTGACTTATCTTTAACTCTCTTCACTTTCTAACTTTTGCTCTGCTTGTTGAAGAGCGCGAGAGTCGAACCCCGCAACTCTCATACTAGTGTCCACATCCTCCCAATCCCTCTATCAGTAGGGTCGCATGCCTATTGATGTGAGACTGTATTTATCAAGTGAACTAATTGTATGTTTTGGTTAGACAACTTTGTTCTACAAGAAAATAAATTGTATATTTCTACTCTATCTTTATCGATGAGCCGGGGCAAAACCCAGAGCTGTTCACGAGCTTACACAACAAATAAAGATTCAGAGATCGTAGAGAATTTCTCGAACATTAGAGTAGCCTCCAAGACTTGATTTATCTAAGATTCTTTTTTTCGTTGAGCATATACGACTTGTTTTTTTCGGTCAGAGAGCATGTACGACTTTAACCATCGAAATATGTCGGCTAATTTAATTCCACTACGTTTAATGGTCGTGGGGTGCCACTACAAAAAAACATGTAATTTGCGACGGAAATTTTTCGTCGTAAATTTTGCGACGAAATTTGCGACGGATTATATTTTCCGTAGCTAATTTGCGACGGATGAAAAATCCGTCGGAAATTTGCGACGGAATTTTTATACGTCGCAAATTCCGTCGCAAATTTGCAACGGAAATAAAAAACCGTCGCTAATTCCGTCGCAAATTTGCGACGGAAAAAAGTTCGTCCCAAATTTGCGACGGAAAAAAAAACCGTCGCAAATTTGCGACGGAAATAAGTTCGTCGCAAATTTGCAACGGAAAATAAATCCGTCGCAAAATTTTCATCGCAAATTTTCGACGGAAAAAAAAACCGTCGCCAAATCCGTCGTAAATTTGCGACGAAAACGCACGTCCGTCGCAAATTTGTAGTTTATTACCCGTGATATTCCAGCCCTATCTCTCTCTCTTGCTCTCTCTCGCTTTTCTCCCTCTTTCATATGTCTGAAATCAGCAAAATTCGCGCACGCACATATTAATCTCGGTGAAGCTTTTGTACCGGTAAGTATCATTAGCTAGCTTCGTGACTATTCATCCTTGAATTGTAATTTCTTTTATTTTATATATGTTTATGTTTGTTTTTTTTTCGTATCTGCATCACCAGTTGAACGACCGTCGACACCTCGCCGGCCTTTGGATGAGGCAGAATGGCCATTTCCGTCGCAAATTTGCGACGAATAAGTGAAAATTTCGTCGCAAATTTGCGACGGAATAAAGGGAATCCGTCGCAAATTTGCGACGGATCCTTGATTCCGTTTCCATCGCACATTAAAAATTATTAAAAAATAATTCTTCAGTGATTATTCTTTTTGGGTATGTGTCTAATTGAAGGTCTCGCAATCCAAGTGGATGTTGCAATTCTTATCAAATTGACCACTTTCTCCTACCAATATTTCAGTCAAATATTTGGGTAAGTCTTCTTTACATGGTAATTTTTTCTATTTTTGCAATTTCATATTAATTGTTGCGTGAATAACAAAAATTATAATTTCAAAAATTTTATGGTTTTAATTAAGAACAATAGATATGATATTTTAAATATTTTACCATAATTTTTTATTTTAATACAGACACAATGCAAAGAGAAAGGGCTTGGATGTATATAAGAACTTACCTGGACGTCAAGGATTGACAGATGAGTTTCGTACTGGGTTGGAACTATTTTTAGACTTTGCTAGTAGTAAATATGAGTTCATGGATGGAAATAAGTTAAGGTGTCCGTGTAAAAAGTGCGGTAATGGTAAATTTCTTGTGTGTGATCAAGTTAGAGAACACCTTACTAGATTTGGGTTTAGTCCGAACTATTATAATTGGACTTTCCATGGTGATCCATTTATATCTGATGAAGGATATGGAAGAAGTGACCAATTTTCAGTTAGGGAAGAATGTGACTATTATGAGCAATTGAACCCATACGAGAGGATGGTGATTGATGCAGCTAGTTATAATTTTGTCACAGAATCAAATCATGCAAGTACTAGTTTTACTCCTATACGTGAACAAGTGGGTACTAGTCATGCTTCACAATTGGAAGATATAGGAGTAACGGGTTTTGATGAGAATGTCTATAATGAAACTTTTCATTCTAATCAGTTCCGGGATGTGTTGAAAGCAGCAGATGAACCTTTATGGCCAGGTTGTGAGGACCACACTAAGTTATCGGTGACAGCCCGACTATTAAATATTAAGGCAGAGCATAATGTGTCTGCGGATTGCTTCAACTCTTTTGTTGAAGTAATGCGGGAATCATTGCCTCGTGATAACATCATGCCAAGTGATTTTTATGATATGAAAAAGCTAGTGGATAACTTAGGTCTTCCGGTTGTAAGGATTGATGTATGTAGTACGGGTTGTATGATATATTGGAGAGATGATGAAAATGCAGAATCTTGCAAATTCTGTAGCCAACCTAGGTACAAGATTAACAGGAGGCCGGGTCGTAATCAGAAGCGTAGACCATGCAAGCAAATCTTTTATCTGCCCTTAATCCCCAGATTGCAAAGGCTTTATGCGTCTAAAGCCATCTCTTGAACACATGACTTGGCATGCAAATCATGAAACAGGAAGAGGGTCTAATGTGTCATCCTTCGATGCGGAGGCATGGCAACATTTTGATAGAACATACCCTGAGTTTGCGATGGAGCCTCGGAACATCAGGTTAGGTCTCTGTGCCGATGGATTTGCTCCATTTGGGAAAATAGGAAAAAGTTATTCATGTTGGCCAGTTATCTTAACGCCGTACAATCTTCCACCTGGTATGTGCATGAAGACACCTTATATGTTTTTGACATTGATCGTGACAGGGCCGCAAAATCCGAAAAAGTTGATAGATGTTTATATGCAACCATTGATTGAGGAGTTACAACGGCTATGGGTTGAAGGTGTCCCTACATATGACGTTTCTACCGATCAAACATTTGTAATGAAGGCTGCCCTTCTTTGAACGATAAATGACTTTCCAGCTTACGGAATGTTATCTGGATGGAGTGCAGCTGGGATCTTAGGATGTCCGATATGTTTGGAGAGGTCAAAGTCATTTAGATTAAAACATGGAAAGAAGCCCAGCTATTTTGACTGTCACAGACAATTTTTACCGTAAAGTCATCCTTTCAGAAGGTATAAGAAAGAGTTCACCAAGAATAGGACTGAAAGAACGCGTCCACCAATGAGGTTGACCGGCGATCAAATTTGGGAGCGTGTGCAGGACTTTCCAACTGTTATTGAGAACCCGCACGGCACGACTTTTGCGTACGGAAGTACACATAAGTTGACAAAACGCAGTATATTTTGGGATCTACCATATTGGAAGGCTCATCTTATTCATCATAATCTTGACGTCATGCACATAGAAAAGAATGTTTTCGACAATGTCATAAATACTGTGATGGATGTCGCCGGAAAAACAAAAGACAACTTGAACGCAAGAAAAGATATGAGAGATATTTGCGATCGGCCAATACTAGCTGTGGATGCAAGCAGCAGGGGACCAAAACCGAAAGCAGTTTATACATTGGATAAGCAGCAGCAAAGGCGAGTTGTTTGTCAATGGTTGAAATATGTGCGGTTTCCTGATGGATATGCTTCGAACCTCGGGAGATGTGTTGATTTGAATGAATGCAAGTTCACAGGTTTGAAGAGTCATG